ATTTAATTCACATACAGCACACATGTTGGGGAACATCACCAAAAAAGAATTTTTCTCCTACCATATATGTTTCATGAGATACTGAACGTCAAATAAGAATTATATGAAAAATTTCCCTTGACCACACTAATTTTTCTTACATTTTATCACCTATTTCTCAGCATGAGAATATTCAAATGCAAAGATTTTTTCCCCCCATAAAAATATAGAAACATTTCTATCAGACGATACTTACCTTTTGACTCTCCTTGCTACGGTCTTGGAGTTATGAGTCATTATTTTTGTGTATGGCACTCAGAAAACAACAGGTTTTAAAATTCCTTCAGGGAGTCGAGAGCCAAACAAAAATGCCTGTTTTGTTACAAAATACTGTAACTTTTGGATACTTTATGCTATCACCACAAAATTTGAAACCGATATAGATAACATGCTGGAGAACCTCATCAAAAAGAATTTTCCTCCTACCTTATTTCTGTCCTGAGATATTGAATGTCAAATAAGACAGATATGAAAAATTTCTCTTGAGCACTCAAATTTGTCTTACATTTTTATCAGCTATTTCTCAGCAGCATATTTTTCTAACGATACCAGCCTTTTGACTCTCCTTGCTGCAGTCTTCGAGTTATGAGTCATTCTTTTTGTGTATGTCACTCAGAAAAAACATCATCTTCAGTGAGGCAAAAATGCCCTCATGACTTAAAGGGTTAATATGTGATTTCTATAAATATTTTATTTATAGCCAGTGTTAATTTAGTGTTATTTATACACTATTATAGTATTATAATTTAGTATTTTAGTTTAGGTAGTAGTCATTTTTAAAATTGTGATTTTAACAATTTTTAAATATTTATATTTTGCTTTATTTTTAGTTTAGTTTTAGCCATTTGCCAGAGCAACATTTCTACAGGTTTATTTTGTTGGCTTTATTTCATTAACTGAAAATAATTAGTGAAATAGAGGGTTTTTTTTCGTTAAAAATAACAACACTATTTGCAGTGCATGTAACGGATTAGTTTGTTGGATTATTGATTGAATATTAGATTTATAACTAATGTGATTGGTTTGTTGATTTACTAATGTGTCATTACAGCATTATTAATATTTAAAATTAGCTTTTATATTTATATTTTCAGTTTTAATTTAGTTTAAATTTTAGTTATTTTGTGTGCTTTTGTCATTTTAAAAAATATTTCTGTTAAGCTTAAGTTAATTTTTATTTCAGTTTTAGGCAATGTTTGTATTTTTTCTATTCATTAGTAGTAAATTCATTTTTAACTGAATTATTTAATTATTAATTTATTTTTGAATTTTAATTTAGCTTTTGTCATTTTAAAAAATATTTCTGTTTAGCTTTAGTGAATTGTTTATTTCAGTTTTAGGCAATATTTCTATTTTTCTTATTTCTATTCATTGGTAGTAAATTCATTTTAACTGATTTAATTATTAAATTATTTATAACTTTTATTTTTGTATTTTAATTTTAATTTAGCTTTTGTCATTTTAAAAAAAATCTGTTAAGCTTTAGTTAATTTTTTATTTCAGTTTTAGGCAATATTTCTAATTTTTCTTATTTCTATTCATTGGTAGTAAATTCATTTTTAACTGAATTATTTAATTAATTATTAAATTTTATAACTTATTTTAATTTTAATTTAGCTTTTGTCATTTTTATTTTATTACTTATTCTAATTAGCTTTATTTTTAATTAAACTTCAACTTGAGCTTAAACAGAAATGTTAGAAAATTAGAAATGCATCCTGGGTTTACGTTTTTCATTAGTTTTTTCAATAGTTCTAGTTTTTTTGCGAGACACTGTTTATAGTGCTGATAGTGATGGATTAGTTTGTTGGTTAATTGTATTCAAATATTGGATGGCTAGTTTATATTTGACTGAATGCATGATTGAGATTCCGTCCTGATTTCCCGTAGGAACTGTGGGAACGTGTTTTGTAAGGACTGCTGTCACCTGAAGCTGCCCATCCCAGACCAGCAGCTGTACGACCCGGTTCTGGTGTGCACCCCCTGCCACGACCTGCTGCTGGAGTCCCGCACGCGAGAGCTGCGCTCGCAACAGCTGAAGAAAGCCATCGCCACCGCCTCCAGCTGAGACGGCCAATCACAGCGCGCCACACACACACTGGCGTCCAATCACACGCCCGTCTTTTAGAGCAAGAGCCGCTCTCTCCTCTGGAGTCCGGATCGGCTCTGAGACTGATCCACACGAGGAACAGGACGGATCAACTCCAAACACGAGTGCGGTTTGCGACGGAGGGGCGATTTTATCACTGCAAGTGAACTCCAAGCTTCTCTGATTGAGGACAGAAACCGGACCCAAAGGATCCTTGGGTTCCAAAGAGAGGCGTTTCTTCGTCTGGAAATAACCACACGGCCCGTATGCATCACACACATCCAGAGGCTCTCTATTTAAAACCAACCAAGCTGCTAGTATTTAAAACCGAAAAATTCTACTTTTGTATCCTTATTATTTTGTGCACTACAGAGGGGGTTTGAGACCAAAACGGGGAGATCTGCAGCAGTTCGTCTGCTGACATGAAGCTTGAATGTACGGCTGTTTGGTTTATTTTGATTTTTCAGAAACTGGAGGGAGGGACTGAATTTAAGCTGCCAGTTTGCATTGATTTGATGGCAGTTTTTTTGTTTTTCAGCCACTCGCGTCAAAACTGCGCTTTCGCTGAAATGTGAAATGGTTTCACTCGCGACTTTAAATGCCAAACTCAAACTCAAATTCCAACATATCAGTAATATATAAACAGAAGCACTCCTAAATTCATGTTTCATCTGGCTGGTTGTGTTTTGTAACAGGAAAAGCAAGAAAAAAACCGAGCAAGCTGAACATTTATGCTGTATGTTGTTGTGTACGTTACGGTAAAACTATAGCCATGTTGCACTGCTCCGTCTACTTTATCCAGAATACTAGTGTACTAGTTTCTTTTCTGTGACTTCATCTGAACAAACCAACGACGATAATTAAAATGACAATCTGAAACAGGTGAATCATTGGAAACTGGTGGCGATTTAAAGGACTTTTGTATTGGAGGGTTTGACCGCTTCGCTGCTGTCCACTCACGTTCTCAACATGTTCAAAACAAGTGCTATGATTTCTTTTTCACGTCGTCCGCGTCTTCAGGCCCTACGTTGATTGTGTATTGTAATGTTGGTGAACCTCTCAACAGTGCCATGTGTTTGATTTTCTTATGGATTCACTTTAACATGTTAGATGGTACAATAGCTAGAGGCTTAACAATCAGAGGATGATTTGTTGAGAATCGATGAGGTTAAAAACACTGAGAACCGGTTTGATTTTTGTCTGATGGGTTTAATTTTTCTTCTCCGTGGTGTTGATGAAGGACACATTTCGAGTTAAATGCATTGAAAAGGAACCCAGAAATGTGATATATTATATAGTTATTTGGTCTGTAATAGTGGCTAAAATGTGTCACTTAGTGAATAATTGTTGTAAAGAAATGCACTGTACAAGTTCAATCCCATGGGTTAAATAAAAAGATATGTCTTTATCAGCCATCTGTGTCCTGTGTTGAGATTATTCATCTTTGCTTTATCATTTTGTTCAAAATCATACCAAGCATGGAGCTTGAACACTAAAATTAACATAAGCATTTTTGTTTTGCTGCAGTTATTTTTTTCCTGTTATATTTAAAGGGGTAATCGGATGCCCATTTTCCACAAGTTGATATGATTCTTTGGGGTCTTAATGAAAAGTCTGTAACATAGTTTGGTTAAAATTTCTCAATGGTAGTGTAAAAAACAGCTCTTTTCAGATCAAGCCGTTTTTGTAGCATTTTCCTTTAAATGTTAATGACCTCTGCTGGCCCCGCCCCTTTCTTCCGAGCCGCTCAACTTGTAAAAGTGCATGTAGCATCCTATGACCCCTTTAAGAGTTTTCAAAAAGTCAACATTTAATATATTTAATACTGCAGTTAATATGCTATAAGAAAATCATCCTACAGAAGCTGGTTTTAAAACAAAAACAGCAGTCTGATCTTTAGCAGTTTTATTTATAGAGCACCTTTCCCACACTTTACAACAGATTTACATAAAGAACATAACACGTACAACACAAAAATATACATTCACAAATAAATAATGCATCTCTTTACCTGTGAATTTAAAGGAATAATTCTTATGGTCTAATGACAATGTTAATTACCACTGATTTTTAAAAAATATTTCTCCATCTATAAAAAGGAAAAACAGCGTCAGGCCTACTATTACAATGAATTAAAAGAATAATCACAACATTGCAACATTACAAAAATTAACATGAGACTAGTGAGACTGTACAAGGTTCAGCGTTTCACAGTCAGAAATGAAGGGAAGAAAGCCAACAGCCAATGCCAGTAATACTACTAATTAAAAAATAATAGAAAATGCCTCCAGTTCAACATCACAAATCTCAGCCTGCAGTGATAATCACTTTTTACTGAAGGTCACTGAGAAGAAAATTGACAGCCTTATAAAAATATTCAATTCACGTTTATTTGAATAGCACTTTTCACGAGACAAATTGTTGCAAAGCAGCTTCACAGAAGATTTGGTCGTTTTGTATGTTGGTTTAGGGGTTGGCATCATCTGAGGTCCTCTGAGGGGTTGGCATCATCTCTTCTCAGGTGTTCTGGATCCAGACTGAAGCTTGTGTAAATCCTAGTTACCACGGGATGTCAATCCCAGCAGAAACAGAGAAACAAATAGAGACATAATTAGCGTAGCTGCTGTTCCAACCATGCAAAAAAAAAACAAATGTGTTCAAATAAAGAAATGATAATGTGCATTTAATCAGAAATAATTGAATTACAAGGTTATGAGATACATTGTGTGAATGCTTGGCCAAAGAGATGTGTCTTTAATCTAGATTTAAACAGAGAGAGTGTGTCTGAACCCCGAACATTATCAGGAAGGCTATTCCAGAGTTTGGGAGCCAAATGCGAAAAAGCTCTACCTCCTTTAGTGGACTTTGCTATCCTAGGTACTACCAAAAGTCCAGAGTTTTGCGACCTTAGGGAGCGTGATGGATTGTAGCGTGGTAGAAGACTAGTTAGGTACGCAGGAGCTAACCCATTAAGTGCCTTATAGGCAAGTAATAATATTTTGTAACTGATATGGAACTTAATAGGTAGCCAGTGCAGAGACTGTAAAATTGGGGTAATATGATCATATTTTCTTGACCTGGTAAGGACTCTAGCCGCTGCATTTTGGACCACCTGTAGCTTGTTTATTGAAGATGCAGGACAACCAGCTAGCAGTGCATTACAATAGTCCAGTCTAGAGGTCATGAATGCATGAACTAGCTTTTCTGCATCAGAAACAGGTAACATGTTTCGTAACTTGGCAATGTTTCTAAGATGGAAGAATGCTGTTTTTGTAACATGGGAAATATGATTTTCAAAAGACAAGTTGCTGTCTAATATAACAATTAAAAAATACTCCTTGAACGTTGCTCTGAAAAGTAGTAAATAAACAAATAAATGCATTAATACCTGTATTAGTAGTAGTAGGCCTACTGCTGTATAATTATCATTAATAGGCTTTGAACCGTTTTGAGTCGAACAGTTTTGAACCGGCCATTAGATGTCACCAAACTCACATTAATGATTGTTTTGCGCTCAGCTGCTCAATATTCATAACTGCATATTTCTGTTGTGGATAAAGCAGGTGTTTACTCAGGTAACTTTATACAAGATATAGCCTAATAATCTCCCATATACACACTATAAAGTGTATGAGTAACAGAAATATGTTTACAATTTACAGCATGGTAAGATTATGGAATATTAAATATGTGTTAAGATGGGAGGCAATAAAAATAAAACAATAACAAAAGCCTAATTCAACACTTCCTGACAGAATTTTCCTCATTTAGGCTACTAACCATAAATTTCCCTGAAATAGGCCTACATGCTGGAACAAAAATACTGAAGGGATCATTATTAAGAATTTCGCCTGGAATAATCCAATCATGCTTTGATTCATGGAATTACAACTTGGGAAAATAATCAATGATAAACATACAAAGTTTGAATAAGATGACCTGTGATTGGGCAAGGCTTATTTTGGTCATATGCTGCCATGCACAGTTGGATTTTCTATAAATGTAGCCTTGTAGGTTGATCTAAACTGTAAGTTGATTTAGGGGAAAAAGCATCTTTCTACTAATAATAGTATGTATTATAGTTAGGTGAGGAGTTTTTTGTCATTGTACTGGCATTTATCAGATCTGACCATTAAAATGACTTTTAGATAGATAGATAGATAGATGTAAGAATAATTAGCATATTTCATACATAACATGTGATAAAGGTGAGAGGGGTGTGATGATGCTCTTGTTATTAGAGGAATGTGATGGGAGGGGCCAGCAGACTCCATCCTGTCCATTGATAGATATATTACTATATAAGAGACGATCACACTCTCAAAGGGTCACATTTGGTCGAGTCTCATTGCTGGAGTCACAGGACTTTCACAATGCGGTGTCTGCTTTCAGCGTATCTTCTGCCACTGATTCTGCATTCGTGCAGCGGTGCAGGTGAGTCCAGCACATTCATGATCTAGCTATGCTCAATGATGCTGCTGCTGCAGTGCTGCTTCATATATGCGTTCAAATTCAACTTCATTCACAAACTCTACAAACCTACAGCGCTTTGCAGGTAACATCAATCTGATCATATATCAATAAGGACATTTTGCACTGATCAGATTAAACTTACTGAATGACCTCAGATCTATATCAAATTTATTAGTATTCATTAATAGCTAATGTGCATCATTTAAAGGTGAACAGACCGACTCTTCTGTGTAGTAGTATACTAGCCTACTAGAAATTTACATATATTCTCAAACAGTTATATTTACAAACTTTTCTAGACCAAAAAGCTGCTGAGTCTTTTTTTTTTTTTTTTTTGCACAAAACACTCTGATATAACATTTGAACGTTTCAGCAAGTTTTAAGCTTTTCAAAAGTAGCTACACAATGGAAAAACGCATGGTTTTTTTTAACATCTTTATTACAGTTTTGACTATGCAGAGCTAATGACCGATAAACACAATTTTATTCAGAACACACAATAAAGATGATCAATTCATTAAACTCAAAACACGTTTTGTAGGCTATTTATGAATCTTTTGTAAGTCGCAAAAATAATGTTAGCTTACCTAGGCAGACTGTCAGAGAGTTATTAATCTAATTAATGTCATCCGACGCACGAACCTCGAACCCCCTAAAAAAAATCAATCTTGCGCGCTGCCTCATTTTCTGGAGGAAGGAGCATCTTTCTTTCTTTCTGCTCAAGGACACTCGGTCCGTTGCTGTTCCTTATATAGGACGAGCTCCTAAAATCCAGAGTGTTTGGCAGCGTAACGCGGTGATGAAGCTCTGAAGCGGCATGATAGCGCTGCACCTGTACTCAGTCATGCCAACTGCATCAAGACTTGCTATAGAAATATTCCGTGCCTGATCCGTTCAAGTTTGTCGAATTTGTCCTTTGGAGCCCTTTGTACCGTAGACCAAACGTCATCAAGTTTTTGTGATATGTGGTAAATTAATGAACACTTAAGTGATAAATAATTATTTGGTTTTCAGAAGCAAGGTTCTCTGTTGCTATGGTTACCTCCAAAAAAGAGGAACATTTCTGTTTGTGAGGGTCTATTTAGGCTACCGCTAGATTAAAATAGGCGGGTTGAATTTGTCAGGTTTTGTTGTTATTTATAAGTATGAAAAACAATAAAGGGATAAATAATTAGCCTACAGTAGGCCTATTTGAATAGATTTTCAGACGCAAAGTTTTCGAGCAGCGTACTGTTGCTATGGTTACCACGAAAGCGATTTCTGACTATTTACCGGCGCTCCGAGTGTAAATACGGGTTCTCTTGTTTAATGTTTGAAAAGCTAGTTGAAACGTACAAAAGTAGTAACAATTTAGCTAAATGAACAATAAAGTGATAAATAATTACAGTAGTCTATTTATGCTTCTTTTTTTTATTTATTTATGCGACGCGAAGGGGCGGACAGCGCACTGTTACTATGGTTACGTTGACAGACGAAGGCGATTTCTGTTCACGAGCGTTTATTTTTTGGTTATTGAAACGTTTGACTAGCCTGTTGAAGCCTACAAAAATAACGACATACATTTTGATGATTGACAGATTAATTCCAGCGGTGCCAAAACTTATTTAGACAGTTAAGTCACACTTTTCAGTTAGATTACGAAATATCAAAGCAAGTGTCAGTTATTGTAAATAATCGACAAACATGATTCTAGCTTAAAGACATTAAAACACAATCTGCTGCTTTGATGTTAGATTTCCTGTTCTCTAGGATCTAAAGATATTTAAAAATTGACACACATATTTTGTATCTGCTTTGAAATGACGTGTATTGTAGAAAAGCGCTATTTAAATAAAAATGACTCGACAAAAGGAAGATTGTTCACTTTGAAATGCTAAAACAATAGATGGAGTGTTGAAAACGAGGACAGTCGGTATTCAGTGACTTTGTTTGTTGATAGTTAGTTAATGTGATTCAAACTTTGAAAAGGACGACGTTAGCGAACAGAAAAGATTTGATGGATATCATTTCTAATGCAATGACATTCCGACATTTTTAAGTGTGACTTAAGCATCCAAATATACTTTCTAGGTTAGCTGTGTCAACAAAATGTCCACAAAAGGCTGTATGTCTCTATTTAAGAGCCACTTTATATGCGTGTTCAAGTGCTTCTGTATAGAACAAACAAACAATGACTGTATCTTCATATCAGCATTAATAACTGATTATTTATTATTCAAGCAGACAAGAGGTTAAAGAAAGCTCTGCAGCTTCATTGTTGATTCATTGTGCTCTTGATCAACACACTTACTGTATCACGGCTTCAGTCTCTCTGGAGTAACCTGAGGTGAAGTCAACTGTAAATGACTTTTAATTAAAGCATCTGCTAAATGGCAGCCGTCTAAATTAAAGGTCAATAAATATCAATATGGTTTATAAATGGCACCTTAAATGGTACTAATGAAGCCAGTGGGAATATTTACATGCAGGAGAACTGCATAATGACATGCTGAAATATTGGCTCAACCTAATAAAGAAAGAAAGAAAATGTACAGAATGCAACACTGCAAATCTCGCCGTCTACATAGGCAGCTTCCTTCTTAGTGCTGCTTCTTAACCAAAATAAAAAGTGGCTCATTTAAAACTGTCTTCAAATAATTCTTCCTCATGTAAAGTGCATGACTGACAACAAATGCTTTACAATAAAAAAAAAACTTTATTAAAAAAATCTTACATACTGTAAATATTGAGGTAAAGTGCAGCGATTTTTATTGCTAGTTTTCAGTGCAATATAAAATAAAATGCACAGTGCATTTCTAATTTCTCTCAAATGCATGAATCTAAGTACATTTTGGGATTGTTTTAACCAGAAAGGATACATACCATCCTGCCTTAGTATATAGGTTTTCTTATTAGACAGCACAAACTTAAGATGCCTTAAATGTTGCCTATGGTGCACTGCAAAAATAAAATAAATAAGATGTATTTATTAATTTTTTTAAATAATTTGACGTTTATAGTTCATAAATACAAAGAAATGTGAATTACTTGAATCTACTTAAAGGCAGGGTATGTGATTTGTTTCAAAAACATTTTTTGTTATGCTGGTTGAAAGTCCCTTCACATTAAGGTGACCAGACGTGCTCCTTCCCGGGGACACGTTCTGCACAGGATTTCTAAAATTCTAAATCGTTGTATGACATCAAAGTACCGCGAGAGCTATAGAGAGCAAAGCAGACGGCTCCATGCTTTCGAATCTCTCTCGCGGTACTTTGATGTCATACAACGATTGATCTGAGCAGCGCAAACAACCAACACCTGGTTATTTTAGGCGCTTTAGAAATCCTGTGCAGAACGTGTCCCCGGGAAGGAGCACGTCTGGTCACCTTACTTCACAGCCCGATAGGCATCACTAAGTTAAGTGGCCTAAGTGTATTTATATGTATTTATGTTGTCTGTGGAAGGCGTAGGACCATAAAATGTTCGTCTAATCATATCCCACAGTTCAAGGGCTACGATAGGCTGTCCTGTCGACGTATGTATTTGCATACATCATCATCACCACGTTCCACTGCATTATTGATGGCAGGACCGAGTGAGAATGTAAGGCATCATTACTGTAACATCATGCGCTTTGTACCGAAATGTTTTCTCACCAGTGAATGAGACATGAGGTAATCTGACAGCATTGACACTGTCTCTTATCTTGTCGCTGATGTCTCTGCTCTGTCTGTGTGCGGTCATGTGTTTTGGAGGAGGCGTGGCTTTGGAGAGCGATTTGCAGGCAGGGAGGGATCTTATGCTTTCAAAGCTAGCTTGCTATTGCTAGACTCTCCGAAATCGTCGTCTACCCTACCTTTAAAAACCCATGTAAGAACCAAGGGAACTTCCTCCAAATGTTGTCCCAACAAGTCAAACACAGAAAGAATTGAAAATGTAACAATATTGCTGAAATGTTAAGCGTTTGTGAGTTCCCAGCATGCATTGCAGCAATTGTTATTAATGGGAAATTTGCCTTGCCTTGATGTATTTATTGGTTGAATGAGGCATCTACTGAACAAACCAAACTCACAAAACAAAGTAGTGTTATTTATTCCTATTTTACATTGTGCAGCTCACTCGGTTTTGGAAGAGAATGTGTGAAAAGCAATAAATATGAGGTCAACTTTAGCAAACGTGTTCAACCGCAGCCTAAATGCAGTCATGTTGTGTAGAATATCAAACAGCATACATTTACAAAAAACATAAATAATATGCAGTTTGCATGTTCTGCCAAAATGCCAGAATGCCTTGCTGTCTAAATGAGGTTAAGGTGTCTAAGCAGATTTCCGCGTTCACATGATATATATATATATATCGTACACACAGTGATGGATTTGTTTTGGTTTGCATGCATGAAACCGTATTTTCTTTGCTTTGTCTTTTGTGTCGTTGTTCATCTGCAGTGTTGCGTCTTTGGCTCTTTGAGATATTACTGTGACCCACTGTGACACTCACTTTGTTTCTCGCGCAGCTCTAAAGATCAAAGGCTGTTTGTGAATTCATATCAGCGAACAGGCAGGTATTGTTCTCTGCTGACATGCGCTCCGGACTCGACGCGGTTAATGATAGCCGAGACCAATAAATACCTTCATAACACCTGCTCATTAATGCCAAACTAATTCTTATGGATCAGCAGACACAATCTCTCATCCACATTTACAGTATGCATTGAGAAATGTGTTTATTATGGTCAGAAGTAATTAAGCATGAATGTTTGCACTAGTGCCATTCACTTTTTCAGCAACATTGCTGCTGGAAGTATTTTTTCCATTCATTTTTCCCATAGGGATTTTCAACAAGTCTCTATTTAAGCATTATAAGCCACGAGGCAAACAAACCAGCTACAAGCAGAATCGCAACAACACAAACTCTGATTTGAAGCAAAAAGGTATTTAAAAAGTGAACAAAAAACAAAACAAAGATACAAGACTGGGAACTTA